AGATCAGCCCCGAGCTAACATCTGATGCCAATCCTCCTCTTTTTGCTGAGGAAGACTGGCCCTGAGCTAACATCTCTGCACATCTTCCCCTACTTTACATGGGACGCCGCCACAGCATGGCTTGACAAGCAGTGAGTCAGTGCATGCCTGGGATCCGAACTGGCAAACCCCGGGCCGCTGCAGCGGAGCACGCACACTTAACCGCTTGCGCCGCTGGGCCGGCCCCTTTTTTGTATTTTTTTAAATGGTTACTCTAGAAATAACAAAATGCATCTTTAACTTATGTCTATCTATGGATATGTCCACATACCTCTCACTAATCTTAGAACTATTATTTTATATATATCTGTATAAAACTCTATAGATATTATAAACCTATCAGTACTCTTGATGGTTATTGTTATATAGCATATACTTATTGCTTTAAAAGTCATCTGTCCTTTAGAGAAATTAGGAGAAGAAAATAAATATATAAACATTTTTATACATATATACACACATATTTATGCAGAACATGCATATACTTTGTGTTTATTTTTGTTCACATATTTTCATTTCCAGACCTCTTTATTCCTTCTTGTAAATTTCATTTGCCTTATTTTGTCATTTCTGTTCAGCCTGGAGAAGTTTCTTTAGCTTACTAATAGTACAGATCTGCTGGCAAGGAATTCTCTGTTTTTGGTTATCTGAAAATTCCTATATTTTGCCTTCATTTCTCTGTCGAGATTCCCTGTCTGTTCATTCACTGTTACCATATTTCCTTTTAATTCTGTATATATGTTCCTTTACTTTTTGAACATATTTATAGTAACTGTTTTGAAGTTCTTAACTGCTAAGTCTGACACACCTGTGCCTACTTGGAGTCAGTTTGTCAATTGTCAGTTTGACTATTTTTGCTGAATAGGGGTCATACTTTCCTGTTTTCTTTTTCCTTCCTTTCCTTGCCTCCCCCTTTCCCTTCCCCTTCCTTGAAGTAAACTCAGAGTACACAGTTGCCAGTTTTCCAGAAGAACTGCTCTTAGATGGTTTCCAGTCTCTTAAAATCACCTTTTGAATCCTCTTTTAAAATTGTCATCTGTGGGAGGCTTATACAGCTGCTTCACTCCTCCACCATTGAGTTTGTAATTTGTTGTATTTTTAATTTCTTGAACTTGGCTAATATTCTAATTTCCTCTGTTACTTTTTATAGTTTCCAATTGGCTGTTAATATTTTCAAAGTTGTCTTGATTTCTTTAAATGTAGTCACCATAATTGTTTTATATTATGTATCTAATACTTAGCACATCATGTGACCTTTTGGGATACATTCTTGCTATCTTTTTTTTTTTTTCTCATTCATGGTTCCTTACATCATTATATCCATAATTATTATTGACCATTTACTGCTTGTTGCCCTTAGAAAGTTATTTATGAGGATTATTTATGAGGATTATTCATGTGAAGTGCCTTCTTCCGGAGGAAATCTGCATTACTTCTTCCAGATATCTGAGAGTGTGACAGTCTGGAAGCACTTTAAATTACTGGCTTTAGTTGGCTTGACCAGCCTACTAGTAATGCAGATTTTATACAGCAAATTCACATGATGGCCAGATCATTGTTAAAATCTCACATGGTGTTGGTCTGGAAGTTCTGTTTCCTCTCATCTGACATTCAGTGCTTTTAAAATGATTTTTTATACTTTCCTGAGCATTTTTAGTTGAAAGATTGGTTTAAATAGTACCTTCTACCATTTTATCAGAAATGAATGTCCTCCATGTTCTTTAATTTTTTCCAATTTCAATAAAGAGTCTTCATAAATTTAAATATTTTACTAAGGAAATTTGTTAGGTATGTGACCTGTATAAAAACACATGAAATAATAAACATCTAACAAATACTTATGTAATGAGTGAAAGATACATGTATTGAATATAACCGTATACAAATAAAGTGATTTTGTTCTTTTGATCATTAAAATGGATTTACACAAAATTGTTGATAGCTAGAGTCATCCTGAAAGTCTGTGTACTACTGGTAGAATTTGGGCTAGGTGTTGTAGAATAGATAAAATACAGCTCAGTTGGAAGGAGTCAGATTATCTAGGTCAGGAGAACAGCAAGTTACTGAGAGGCAGGTGAATATGTTTGAACAAGAGGCATTCAGAGTAGTATGAAGACTCAGTAGGGAATCTAACCTGGCTAGTTCTTGTTGAAGGTGATAGGAAGTGTAGGAGATAGATAAGGTTGAACTCAGTTCTGGATATCACAGAAAACCTGACAATAAAATTGAGTAAAACAGTAGGAGGCCTAATACAGAGGGGGGAAAAGCAAAGCACCTTTTGAAAGGAATATTCTGCCTTTTTCTATTCGTGAGCCATTAAGTTAATAATAATAATTTCAAATACCAACAGAAAAATCTTTAGCCCCCAGTGTGCAGTGCCACCAGGGCCCTTTCTGCCTGTGCCCGGCCTGAAGACTTGCCTCTCAGTATGTGATGTGCTGCCCCAGCACCCTTTGTTTATGCTGGTCATTACGCTCTTTTTTGTAGTAGCACGGTAAGAATGGGTCACCAGTCCTGTTTCTTAATCCATTTTTGTTGACCCTGTTTTGAATAGACATGTATCTGAAATTTGGACAAGCCTTTGTTAGGTCTTGTTTTCCCTATTGTTGTTAGTTTTAAGATTTTTCCTCATGTCCTCATTGGTATTTTAGTGGGAGAGACTGATACTAACCAGATACCCTTTTAAACCAGAAACACCTCTTAGGTTTTCAACGAAGTTGTCTTTATGTGGCTCATCTCCAAAGTCTTCTAGTCATTTGTTCATTTGACAGACAGTTATTGAAGGTTTTCTATTTACCAAATGCCTAAGAAATTTCAGTTTCAGGCATAATAGTACCAAATGTGCATGGTATTTTTGTGTGTGTGTGTGCGTGTGCCCCTTTTATCAAGATTTAATTTTTTAAAAGGTCACATACTGAATTTTGAAGGGTTATAATGTTTGACTTTAAAATTTGTGTTTAGCCTGCAGTTTTTAGGAGTAGTACATCTTAAATTTTATTCTGATTATTATAAAATATTTGATTTTTGAAAATTAGGTTTAAACCAATTTCTCACCTAACGTCCTAAGCAGTCTAAATAATGCATTGGGCTAAATGTCAAGTACCCATGTAAGCACAGTAATCACCTTATAGTTGAAGCGTTGGGCTAGAACTAAGGTGGCATGAGTCTTAATTCCTGTTCTGTTGTTAAGTTGGGGCATAACCCTGGGCAAGTTCATTTCTTTGTATTGGAGCAGATGATTGATGAGATATTTTTGTATTCAGTATGGAAGCAAAATTTGGCTCAAATAAGAGAGGACAGTAAAATAAAATTAATAATGATATCCCTGTAGAGAGTAGAGAAAAAATAAAAATAAGCAAGATAAACTGAAATACCCTATCTTTTCTCAACCCATATCCATTCCTCTAATATAGTCTGGTGAGGATAGTGAAGCCAGAATTAGCTCTTTCTCTTCACATTGGGGAAATCCAAAAGGCAGCTATGTGAAACTTGTCCCGACTGATATGTAATGTTATGAATTTTATCAGTAGGAAATATGGCTGGATTATATGTGTGAAATATAAAGCACACCCAGGAACATGTAAGGATCTTGACATTTAAAGCTGCAACACCAAGCAAGCATCGTTGGATGTTTCTAAGTTTTTCTATTAATATTTGCTTGGCATTTAAAATCTTAACATTGAGGAATTTTTTCCATTAAACCTGGTTTTCTTTTCTGTGGGCTGGGAAAAGTTGCTCTTAGTTTATTTTAGCAGTGGGACATCTGAGCCAAGTTTTTAGTACACCAGTTTTGAGAGGGAACATATTTTGGGAAACCTCTCTCTGAAGTGATGTATTTTAATGTACACTTTCTCAATTTGGGTAACTCAGTAGCTAATAAAAAGATCGCTCATTTAAGGGAATGTGAGATTTTGAAACACTGGTTTACAATCCATAATCAAAAAATGTTGATAAATGTTTTATTTTCATTATTTTAGTGTAAGGCACCTGCACTTAAAAAGTCAAATTCTCCTGGAACTGCATCCTCGGGATCTTCACGATTACCACAACCAAGCGGCTCTAGCAAAACTGTTGTAGGTAATGAGATCCATAAAATAACTTGTCTTTTTTTTTTTTTTTTAACAGTGTTGGTAGAGAAGGAAATGAAGATAGTATTCTATTGTGGATTATTAAAATAGATTTATAATTAGGATTAAGAGATGTGGAGGATAAGTAATTTATTCTGGGTAAAAATCAAGTAACTTGAGATAGCTTGTACTTGGGATATTTTATAGTCCTTTTTTTTAGCTTAAATGTATATCCTTGATGTTGTTATTAATATATCATCTGTTCAGAATAATCAACCCAGTTCTTTCTTGATTCTTTGACCACAGTATTTTTCCCTCATTCTACCTGTACCTCTCTAACTTGAAAATTATCCTTAATAGACAAATGTTTGAAGAAGATATTGACTACTGAAGCGTACTTTTATTTATATGTAAATTGTAAGAAAGAAATACACAAATTAGAAACGATGGATGCTATATGTTCCCTGGAAATTTCATTTTTTTAAAAAAATTTTCTTAGTTGATAATTTGTTTTGGTTTATTACCATAGAGATTTATTGCCACTAGAGAATTGTTTTCCTTGTCATATGCTCTGTTTTGTGTGACTTTTCTTTTTCAGAGTGTCGTTAAGACTAATACCTTTTTTATTATAAGGTGTGTCTTCAGGTAAAGTGTCTTCAGTTAGCAGCTCTGTCGGAAGCAAACTTCAGACCTTATCTCCCTCCCATAAAGGGATAGCAGCCCCTCAAGTAGGGTAAGTTTACACTGAATTTAATTTATTAGTGGTATATATATATAAATGATACTAAGGTTTTCTTTAGGTAATTGGCTTTTTCATTAAACTTAATTTTCTTTCTAAGTCCATGTGTCTTATAATGTATTGCTGGTCAGGAGCACACTCACTGCTGTTGAGGGTCTAGATTAGTACAACTAACTTGTGTTAATTTTGGAAGAAAATCTGGTGGCATTTATCAGGAGCCTTAAAAACATTATTTTCAATTGAATAATTTTACTGCTGGGAATCCATTCTAAGGAAATTATTCGAAATGTAGAAGATTTTTGTAGTAATCATAATTTATTAAGCATTATGTATCAGGCACTATGCTAGATATTTCACATATATTTTTATTAAAAGCACCCCACACTATAGGATGAGAAGATCAAAGAAGCAAAAGTAATTTGCTCAAAGCCACACAGCTGGTGAGCATTAGAAGCAGGATACAAATTGGGGTCTCTTTGCCTCTAAACGTTGGTCTCTTTTCATATGTTTTTATTATAATGTAAAAAAAAAAATCACCGAAATGTCTATAGCAAATTATGACCATCTACAAAGGGATATTATGCAACCATAAAATATATATAAATTTTAATAAGATTATTCTGCTATAACCAAAGAGGAATGTCGGATACAAACTCCAAGTGTACTATGGTAGAAACTATAAAAATATGTGTAGATAAAAAAGACAAAATATGCTGAAATATTAACAGTGGGTGATTCTTTTCTTTTTATTTAATACTTTTTATCTTTCCACAGTTTTATATACATGGTTTTTAATAAAGTAGCATAATTAAGCTTTCAACAATTATTTTTATTCTAAGAAAATCATTGTTAGCACTAGAGATTTTAATAGAAGGCCTCCTATTCCAGTAGAAACTCACTTTCTCCTCCATTTTGATCAGAAAATTAAGAGATTGCCACATGACCATTAGAATGAGGGCTTATGTCTTTATCTTTATAAATACCGATCAAATTGATTTAGGAAATATAGCACACGTTATTTTCAGATATAGGTTATCACCTTAGTTTTCATGTAGGAAATATATACCAGGATATATATCAAGTGAGAGTAACTGCCTTTTGTTTCCTAATTTGGACTATGTAGAAAGTACAAGTCCTAAAGGGAGTTTTATGTAATTGTCACTGCAGGAAAAGCAAAAAAATCAGCTAACTAGATCTGATTAGTTAAATGTCTTTTCTCTTTGTTGTGCTTCCAAAGAGAAGAGACAGACTATCCTTAAGGAAGAGAGAGGTTATCAGGAGAACAAACGGTTGAAAAGTAAAAGGCTCTCATCTTCCGGTGGTAAAAAACGGAGTTGACTTATGTTTTTTTTTTTTGTTTCTGTGCTAAGTTGACTCATTAGATATTAAACTACAGTATAGACATAGCCATATGTGTTTTAACTTTACAAAGCCTTTTTTACCATATCACAGAGAATTGCCTTCCTTGTTAGGTTATAGTGTTTGTAGTGTTGTTTATAGTTTCATTTACAGTTGATTGTGAATTAAAAGCTGATATTTTTAAGTAGAAATATGAGAAAACTAGGCTTCTAGACTACTTTGCCACTAAGCTCTCTGACTTCGTGATGTCTCTTTTCTCTGTCTCACTCTGACAACGTTCTGTGACTCTGCTTAGACCTTGACAATTGATGTAAGAAAATCTGATCAACATTTATATGATCCTTAGGACAAAATATGTTTTTACTAATAAGCAAAGATTTTGAGCAGAATAATTATATGTTATGTACTGCTTATAATGCCATGAAGATTTAAAATTTCTGGTTGTTTCATATCTTATTAAACTGTCGAACATGACTGTTCAGATTCTGATTGTCCATTCTGTATACAATCCTTACGTGTGAAAGGAGTTTTTCCAACTACTGGAAAGAGTGGTGGTGTTTCCTGCCAGCCAATATATTACTGTATTAACTGGAACATTACTATATTAAGTGGAACCATTCATGGCTGTCTATTCAGTAGCGGAGTTGATTCCTTTTTCAGAATTATTGAGGTAATGATTTGTTTGTCTGTTTCCCTTGCTAGATTGTAAGGTCTATGATAGTAAAGCTCTGTGTGTCTGCCTTGCTTATAGATGTAACTACAAAATGTAGTGTAATGCCTGGCATATAGACACACAACAAATTTTTGGCAAATAAATGAAAAAAAATAACCAATTAATAAATCCCTCATTTGTCAACTTGTTGGCATATCATAAAATCATGGTTCTGGTACCGATGGAATAATTACTTGAAGTTTGTATGGCAACAATTATTTCCATTGACACAGATGATTCAGGATTGCAGAAGGTGGAATTGGGCCATCTGGTTAACTGTAATGTTCAAGAAATTGAGCATCTTCTGAAATTAGTAAAATGGAGTCATTTTAGTGCTGTGGGATTGTTTAAAGCCTGATGTGTATAATCTTTATCGTGGTCAGCTTTAATCATGCATACTGGTGATCTGTGGTATTTAGCATATATTCGAGTCATACTGCAAAAAATTTATCTTTGTACTTGGAAAAATTTTCGTTATGTTTGGTGATTCTAGACAACCAGTGGGTCAACTGATTTTGACAGACTTTTTTAAGCAAAACAAACTCCATGGAAAATTTTTCCCTTGTTCTTTTCTGTTGTTGTTGTGATAACATTGGTTTGTAACGTTACATAAATTTCAGGTGTACATCATTATATTTCAACTTTTGTGTAGACTACATTATTTTCACCACCCAAAGACTACTTACCATCCATCACCGTACACATGTGCCCTGTTACCCTTTTTCCCTTATTCGAAAAGATGATTATCTTTAGTCATAGGAGATTTTAGAAGTATGATGAAACACAGAGCTTTTAAATAAATATTGCCACATTTGAATTGTGTCTCAGAGTTTACACAGTCATACCTTGAGAATGGTGTTTTCTTAATGGTTAATTACCAGCTTAAATGGATGTTTCAGCTGATAGTTTTCAATTGCTAAAATATCAAATTTCAGAGATTTACTGCTGTTCAGTTACTGTGAAAAACAGTTTACTTTGGGGCAAAAGAATGCATGTAAGGAGCATTTCTTAATATAAAAATTGAATTTGGTTTCTCATATTTTAATTAGCAACAATAAGAAATAAATGTCCAGTTTTAAGTACATTGTATGAGTGGGAAGATACTTTTCTCATAAGCCAATCTTTTGATGTATGTAAATTGAGTTTGTGTGGAGCATTATATGGATTTTTATGAACTTCTCGGTCTTTTATTATTGGTCTAGAAATGCCTAAAACAACCTAGAATTGCAGAGTTTGGCTTCTTATGTGGATAACAATGATTGAGACTATTGGATTAAGGAAGTTAACTTTGGCATGAAATTAAGATACTAAATTATCACCATAGGATTAATGAGTTTAGGATCAAAAGCAGAAGTAGGACACATTTCAAAACTTTGAATGCCTCAGAACATCATACATTGGAGGTCTATAAAGATAGAAAATACCACCTATACAATAGTATTTCAGAAGTCATCTTTTTATTATCTCTCAGTCTACTGTGCTTGCTATAGTCTTACAAGACTGAGTGGCTTATTTCCTAAGAGAATGCCCTTACATGGTATCAACAGTAAACAAGGACCGTCTCTAGGTTAAAGTTTCAAATTAGAAATAGGTTGATATCATTGCCAAATATTTCTAAAAATGCTTATTCAGCTGTGAATATTTTGAAAGCTTGCCAAAATATTTTTCCTTCTGGATAAACTGTTCATATAATATCATACCATAGCTTGACAAAAAGTAATATATTTTGGGGGAGGAATACAGGATAATGTAGTGATATTTATCATAACCCTTTAATATATGGTAAAATTTTAAAAAATCATCATTGAAATCTGCCTTTCATTTAGATTTTCAAAATCTTAAAATACTGGCATCCTCTCATATGAAATTTTGATATTTCAGAGCAGATGGTTTTTTTGAATTATGGCTTGAGGGCCAAATCTTGCCTAACACCTGTTTTCATTGGCACATGGCCACACTCAATTATTTATGTATTGTCTATGGCTGCTTTAATGCTATCCTGGCAGAGTTGAGTATTTGTAACGGAGACAGTGTAGCCCCTAAAGCCTAAAATACTTACTGTCTGGCCCTTTACAGGAAAAGTTTGCCACTCCCTATTTTACAGTAAGTAAATTATCATAGAAATTAGATATTTATAATTTGAAGGTATAGGTTTTAAGGATTCTTCATTTATACCCAAAGATGAAACTGTTATTTTTTAAGTCATGTGGATATCTAGGAACTTTGGCCATAGATTAGTGTTTCATGGAACCAAAGCATTTTTTAACTTTTGTTAACTCAACACATTTCTGTGGTTCAATTGAAAGATCAGTGAGGGATTGAAAATACACTTTCATGTTGTCTCTGACCAAATCTTGCTGCCAACTTAAGGACATATCCTTGACTATCATATGGGATTGAAATTCTATGTTATGTGATCTGATTGCTTAGTCCGCTCCAAAATGTATGCTATGTAGGTGAGCTTGGTTGGCTTCAAAAAATACCCTCGTTTTTTTTTCCTTAGCAGCAAGACTACTTTTACTGCAGAATGGATTTTTTTATTCCTGCCTTAATTTCTTTTAGACCTTGGGTGTATAATAACTGTCATTACTGAATTGGAGCCTTTACGAGAAAAATAGCATAGATACACTCTAAAAACATTGATAGTGATAATTCCATAGTGGAGTACTATCAGATTGAAATTATATTCCTCAAACTTTGTGATTAATTAAAAAATACATGAAGTGGATTTCTCATTGTACTTTCCCAACATATATTAATTCTCAAAGTAACCCCATATGTAGACGATGTAACTTGGAACATCTAATGCCCCAGATGTCAGGGTAAAACATGTAATAGACATAGGCTTCCTGGTTCCTATAGTCATTTTATTCACTTCCTTAACTGATGCTTTGGAAGACCAAGAAAGACATAGAGAAGAAAC